GGCTTGGCGCGATATGGTTCATGGGGTCACGAAGAGTCGGACACGACTTAACGACTGAACAACAACAACAACAATCTGGGAAATGCAATGGAACTCTTGACTCGATGCCTGAAGGTTGTAAGGGTCTGGTATGAGATTTAACGGTAGCAATTGGTTCATAAACCAGCTGTCTCTGGGACAATACCAACTTTAGCTCTGAATGGGGTTGTGCTAGTGTACAGTCTGGAGGTGCTTCTGAATCCTCAGCTCCTGCTGGAAGAGTGAGAGGACCTTTGCCCAGCTTCAGCTAGTATACCAGTTACAAACGTTCCTGGAGCAGAAGGTACTGGCTATAGTCTCTCATGTCCTTGTCACCTCATGGTTAGACTACTGTAATGTGCTCTACATGGACTGTCCTTGAAGACCACCCATAAACTACAACTAGTAAAAATACAACAACCAACATGTTAGCTGGGACAACCTGGTATTATTATGTAATACCAATATTGCAGGAACTGCACTGCTTGTCCATTTGTTTCTGGATGCAATTTAGACAACTGAAGCAGCATAAAGTATTCATTGCAGATAAATAAATAATGCCTTGGAAACTAATCTTACCACAGTGCTTCACACACTGAAGAGGTTTGAGTGCAGATTCTGCTTATGTGATAATCATATGCATTTTCACTGTGAAGTCATTAAGGAACTGCTTCTCTATTGGAGATCTACCCTCAACAAGAAGCATGCAGAGGTGGCAGAAATTTTCCAAACTGTATTCTGCATGACTGTACTGCCTGAATGAATCCTCTGCCTGCTATGAACAAGCCAGACAGCCCAATGCAGAGACCAAGGCCTTCATCCTCATCCTAGGGATTGTCTGTCATCTCAGCCCAGCTACCTGTGAGCAAATATCACTAACTGTGGGTGAAGCGTAGGTTACCAGATCTGGGCATTCCAGGACCATCTTTCTTGATTTTTTTATTTTTATATGAATTTGGGGCAGGGGCATTATTTTAAATCTTGACTTTGTTATCCACCTACAGCCTTAGAGAATAGGCAGCATGCAGGCTAAACAAACAACTAAATACTAGAGAAAAAAATAATCTCTTGCTCATAATTTATATTCCCCCCCACTCCTCCAAGCAGGGAAAGGAATTGTGTGCATGCTCCTACATACAACCCTAGATATTAGAATCCCAGCAAGGACACGAGAGCAAACATTAACTCCTACCTACACATCAAGCTTATTTATTTATTAGATTGATAATCTCACTCTTTTCTGTGCAACTCAAGGCAACGTACGCTCAAGGCTCCCTCCTCATATTTCCCCACAACAACAATCCTGTGAGGGGGATTGGGCCGAGAGAGAGGAACTGGCTCAAAGTTGCCCCAGCTGGCTTCTGTGCCTAAGGCACGACGAAAACTCATGGTCTCTGGGTTTCTACCTCAGGGCTTTAACCACTATAGCCATTCAATAGTTGGCCCCCCAGTAGTGATGAACACTAGCTGGAATGATGTAGGGAGCAACTTTTTGAGGAGGTTATACAACTGTGCAATTTCATATGATGTTACAGGGGTATGTGTGTGCTGGTATACATCTGTATAATAATAATAAATATTAATGTAACATTCAAATTCCCTCCTTGTGAGATCTCATGTGAGAATAACTTACATCTATCTCGTTTTTTATTTTTAATTTTCAAAAATGTATTTTAAAAAAAAATGTCAGTAGATATTGTGTTGCTGGCCCTTGTGATAAGGTGGAAATCCAAAATCTATGGACTGCAGAGCACGCTTACCAGTACCATCGGGCAAGGCAGAAACATAAGTTGGCAACATAGGTAAGTAACTGGTTGTTTTGTCCGTCTGCTTGAGGCCGTTTTCCAAGGCTGCCACCATTAAGTCCTTCACAGACAGGAGCTGTTCCGGGGTTACATAAAAGGGCAGTAAATGCTTCTGCAGGGATTCAGAGATAGAGGAAATGCTAGACTGAGGTCGATGGGGCATTAATCTGTGAGCAGGCTTGGCCTCTAAGCCGGCAGTTTTGGAAATGGACACAAAGGAGCTAGTTATGCTTCCTCTTGACTTAGGAACCACTTGCTGCTCTATGGAGGACCGTGGCAAGCCTGAATGCACTACTGAAAAAGAAAGGAGGGATGAGGTGGTGGCACTGGACTCCTGGTGAGGAAGGAAGAAAGAGCCCCCCCCTTCTTGGTCAACCTGATCTGTCTCAGAGGCATCTGAGGTGCTAACAGGCCGTGACTTGCTAAAAGCAAAGAACATGTTAGAGCCCGGCTGGGAACCCGATGAGGCATTTAACATCAGAGAGAGCCTGTGAGAGCTCTCTGAAACTGGGCTTGAATCTGAGGTGCTTTTCAGGATAAAAGAAACCTTCGAAGAGCCCCTGGAAACCATTTGGAAAGCGGCAGTGCTTTCTGACCCAGCCGGACCACCGCTGCCGTGCTCGGACTTGGGATCTAAGCCCTGCTCAGCCATGGCACAAATCCCCTGGCTCAGGGGGTCACCAAGATGTGCGAGGAGAGCGGAGAGCAGCGGAGCCAGGCCAAAGGAGGGGAAGCTGAAGGCGAGCAGGCCAGGTTGGGGGTTGTGTGCTGAAGGAAGCATCCGAAGCAAGAGGAGGCACAGTGGCAAGAGAGGCTGCAGTTAGTGGGTATGAAGTCCCTGGAAAAGGGAACAGGGGAAAGCAGGAGCTGAGGAGGAGAGAGAGAGAGAGAAAGAAAGAAAGAAAGAGAGAGAAAGAGAGGGAGGGAGGGAGGAGGGAGGGAGGGAATCCAGCAGAAGTGAGAATGAGGCAGGTGGGGGAGGGGCAAGGAGGAAATCCCTGGAAGGCAGTTGGAAACAGGCTGCAGGGAGAAAAGAACTGGAGGGCGGGGACAGGGAGTAGAACAGGGACCACAGAGTTACACACAGCTAGATGGGCCATCGCCTTCTCTGGAACAGGCTTCCTTGACCTCACCTGGGGTCCCCCACGTGTGTGCAGGTTGCACCCTGCCCAGGGTTTCCATCCAGCTGACCTCTCCATGACCCCACATTGGGGACGCTGGTGTAGAGATGTCCCCTCCCTGTTTTGAATTGGGAAGTTTGTCTGAGATATTTATTTATCTCAGTTCTAGGCTGCCAAATGATTCTGACTAGCTTCAGGAAATGAAAACGGGGGGGGGGGGAAACCCTATGTAATATATTAAACACACACACACACACACACACACACACACTTGCCCCAAGGGAAGAATGAAAAAAAAAAAAACTTTCATGTTACCAGTTTAGCCCAAGGCCTGGGGGAAGAACCATGTTTCTTGGGCTTGCTTGATGGAGGTTAAGGTGGGTTATTTTTAAAATGGGCATTTGAGACAAAATGATAACTGGCCATAGAAATTACCAACTTTCTCTAAGCTAAAATGCATAACCAGAGCAAAATGCATCTTTTCTAGTGCAGGGTTTACTACATGTAAAATCAAAATGGCTTTGTTTGTTTAAAAAAGATTAGCTTTGCTAAGACAAATTCTGGGGTGAATGCAGTCCATGAACTCAGTTTGCAGGGAAAAAAGGAGTTGCAGCTTTGAAAATGCTTCCAAGGAGAACTACAGTGTAGTTTACTCAGAATAGTCCTGTACAGCTAGAGATTCAGACTGAGATTGAGAAAGGGATTTACAACCACCCCTGCAATATAATATGATTATTATAGTCCTGACTACACATTTGGGAGAGGGGAGGGCTTAGGAGTGAAGGTGAAGCAGCATACAACAACCTTGGGGTGTTGACTAGCACTATTGTTTAGAAAATATATTGCAGGAATCCCTTATTGTAGGTTATTTTTAATGTGTGTATTAGGCATATACAGTATCTTGTTTTTCCCCCATACACTCTCCTCCAAATTTTCCCCCGAACAACAAGCCTGTGAGATAGATTGGCTTGAGAGCAACTGTCCAGAAGTCCCTCAGTGAGCTTTTATGATTGAGGGTAGTCTTGACCCTGAGCCAGTCCTAGTCCAACACCATTACACCACACTGACTAAGGGGTTGCATGAAAAGAAAGAGTCCTGGAAAGGTAAGCTAATTTTAATATTGCGTGCCAAAGCTAAAACTGAAGTCGCCATGACCAAAATCTCCCATTGAAATCACCCTTCAGATTACAAAAGCAGTAAATCTAATACCTGTCAAACCTCTCCTGGCCCAGATCTAGTATCTGCTGCAAACTGGAACATGTGCTCCATTGATTTGCATTTAGATGGATTGTAAATTTAAAACTTCAAAAACTTTTTAAAAAATCCTGTGAAGTAAGATATGAGTTGGAAATAGCAGAGGCTGCTATCTTTGCTATTTTGCTGGGGCAAGGTGGAGGTATATACTATTGTGGAGTCACAAATATATTACTGTAAAATCTTGGATTTCTCCATAGGATTCCATGGGCAATTCTCACTTTAGCATAAAGTGGAGAGGAAAAAAACCTGTTCAAATAGAAATTCAAGGAGTGGTATTTTCTGATCCCTTCAGAACTCTGTGTTTGAAACTAGGATAGAAAGAAAAAGCAGATTATGGGGCCAAATTACTGAGAAAAAACGATTCATGACGGGTAACATAAAATTTGGAGATAACATCACCCACACTTACATATTTCTTCTCCTCTCTATCCCTCCAAAAGAAATTAAATAATAATTCTTAGGTTTTCTCTTTTGGTTTTTAATTTTTTTTTTCTTAAATGCTTACAAACCTTATATTCCTGTCCAAGACAATCCAACTTTTTAGTGAAAAGAATAAATGTTTAGAGTATAATCACATATTCAGAAGTAAGTCCTGCTAAATTCAGTGGGTTTTACTTCCAAGCAACTGTGTTTAGGCTTGTAATTTAAAAAAGAAAAAAGCACTACTGTTGATAAGGACTGCGCTGTTGCTGTTTTTCAGGTATCTATAGCCCCAGTCCTGTTCAATCTGTTCTTCACTTGCATGTTGTCATGTGCTGTCCAGGGTCTGAAGGAGAGAGTGTACATCAGGTACGAATTGGACGGCTCTCTCTTTGACCTTCACTGCTTGAACACAAAGTGCCTCCTTATAGTCATCCAAGAAACCCTCTTTGCTGATGACTATGCACTCTTGGTGCACAAAGACAGTGATCTACAGTTGATGCTGAACAAATTCTCAGATGCTGCTGTGCTCTATGGCCTGACTATCAGCCTGAATAAGACTGAAGTACTTATAGTACTTATAGCCTGTGCCAAATACCGACCCCATAGAACAAAAAATCACTGTTGATGACACCCAGCTGACAAATGTAAACAGCTTCAAATACTTGGGAAGCATCATCTCAAGTGATAGGTGTCTGAACAAAGAAATTGACTCTAGGATCAGCAAGGCCAGCCAGGCACTGGGGCAGCTGCATACTAGAGTGCTCAATCAACACA